AAATGAAATGTTTTCTTCTGGAGAGACTGGCTTTGTGTTTTGGTTAAAGAAAGCGTGGTTGAAAGGCGGGTGTTGTGCTTGGAACAGCAAGCAGTGAGGTTTGAGAGGGCTCCAAGATCCTGGAGAAGTTCCTTCTACAGCCCCTGAGAAAACTACTTTGCTTGCACAGCTCAGCTAGTGCCTGCGACAGACCAGCCACCACCTTGCTTCTTCCTCAGCCGTAGACTCTAGTCTTTACAGTGAACCAGGACCTCAAAGTTATGACAGATACATTAAAACCAGAACCATTCTATGATTCTATCAAAGGACTACTGATTAACACCGCCAGCTGCAGATCAGCCTTTTACCCTGGTGTCAAAGGAAAGGGATGCAGCTGACGGGTCCCCTCTCTGAGATACAGAGTTCTTTGGCAGCGTCATTCCCACTGGCAGTTCTTATCCTGCAGGACCGTTTCAAGCCAACCTGCAAGTTTCACAGGAAAGTGAAAGTGAAGAATGCAAGCCAGGATTAAAGAGAAAAGAGGGAAGAGCTGAATTTCTGCCTATCAGGGTAGGAGGAAGATTCAGTAATACTGAGATGAGAGCAAACACAGCAGGAGCTTTTGAACTGGTTTCACTTGGCAGGAGATGGGATCAATACACTAACAGGAGATGGAAAGACTGATCAGATAAGATTAGAGACCCCAGTGTAATGTCTGAATCTAGGGAGGGGCAAGAAAATTTCTGAAGTACTGTTGTAATAAATTAGTGTAAGTTGCATGCAAAAGAAGTACAAAAAGGGGAAGTTCTGCTTGTGAAAGCTTAGGAACGGACTTTGCTATGCAGCAACGAGACCCTTTTGCACAAGACAGACAATTGCTACAAGGACTGGTATGCAGTGGTTGCCTAACTCTTCTCTGAGAAGGTCAAAATACACAACAGCAGACAAGTGTCTTGACTTGTGCCTCTTTCCCTGCTTTATACATTGCCAGTACATTCCTCACATTTAAATACTGGAATCCTACTGCTTTTCCGTGTTGCTTTGTGCATCTGCAGTAGTCAGTGTCCCCAACTCCCCTCTCACTCTCTGAACAGGAGAAAAAAAAATTAACTATCCCCAACTCCACTGACTCTTGCAATCCTTTCTTAACAGAAAAGTGACCAGTTACACAGAACTGGAACAAACTATTCAAAAAGCCAGTTTCAGATATACACGGAATCTGTTCAAAAAGTAACTATATGTAGCCAAATTTCAGTTCTACAGCACACAAAAGAGGAGAAATAATTCCCATTTAGGTTTTTGGCATATGGTACAACCCCAAAACTTCTTACTCAATCTGAAATTAGTAGAAACTAATGCTAGGTTAAAAAAAACAAAAAAAAAAAGGAGCAAAAATGAAAGAGAAAAAGCCTCCAGTATTTGAAATAAACCCCCAGAACGCAACCTACACTTACTTATTTCAACAGGATGCTCAGTTCTTCCATAGTAATAGTGAGATATTCAGAACTAAGAATTAAAAACCTTGAAGACCAATGCAGCCTGGCTTGGTTAAAACCACTCCATGTTGCTCTGCACAAGCCATAGGCCCACACATATAAACATCAGGCAAACAAAGGAATGCAGATGACTCTAAAATGAGCTGATATAAATCCCTTTAAAAATTTTGCTTACTAAAAAAAGTCATTTCCCAACTTAAAAACTTCCTATTGGGGGAGATTTTTGGTGGACTAAACAGGTTTGATTTCACATCCTGTTTCATGAACTATAATTACAAACAAACTTTACTTTGTGGCTTGCACCACAGAGTGAGTTTGTCACCTCTGCAGAGCAGTTCTTCCTTCTTATCATAGGCTGAAAAGAGACTACATGACTTCTGTGGGCAGATTATATTTACATCCTTACTAAATTTCATTCTAGCTATCAAAATTTTCTATGCTGGACTGAGCCAAGCTGTGCCTTTGGCTACTGCTACAAGACATAATAACAGTAATAATAATAATAATGTAAATTATGAATGCGTCACTGGGGCTAGATCATCCCAATTGCACACTTGTCACTAACCCATGGTACACCAACTCAGTCACAGAGGTCTCAGCTGCCATTAGGGTAACAGACAGCTACTTAGAAACATTATCTGCAGAAAAGCCAAAATATTTTGATTGCTTCCTTCCACAGTGAAATGAAACATTATAACTATTTAAGGTTATAAACAATGAGACAGAAATAAACAACTCCATAAGAAAGCCTCACAATTTCAAGCCAACACTAGATCATTAGAGAAGAATTTTGCCTTTTACTGGCAAACTCTTGACTTTCCCCATCTGCTCCCTTCTCTCCTTACTAATGAGCAGGAGCAAACGACATCTATGAAAGCACTTCTGAGGATGACAAGACACACAAGCACTTATCTAGATGCTTAGGAAAGATCAGCGAGTTCTGCCACTGTGTTCACTATCACCACTGCCAGGGTGGTGGGCTCTTGCCCCCTAGACGATGCAAATCGGAGAGCAGCACTCCTCTGTTTCGTGTTAATAGCTTGAACTATGTATGGTATGTTCTTGTTCCTTACACAAATACCTCATGATCATCCGTATGCTGCAAATATTTTCCAATACAGACCCCTGCCAGGCTATGCTCCGTTTCAGTAATCCTGGCTGGCAGGCAGCAGAAAGATTCAAAAAAACCTCAAAGCACATTCCAGCTATGTATGTGCACAATATGTCAGAGCTGCTACCACATTGATCACACAAGTCCACAAAAGGTCGTAGAGGTCCCCAGTTGTTTCACATTTGGTAGAACAGTGGCACTAAACTAAGGCTTCTACTTCTTGAAGACAAAAAAAGGAAGACCAGCTCTGCATGCTTTTCCAAGCCATTGGACACAGGTCTTGAGAGTAGTTTACACACACTTGTGTTTCAAAAAAGGGGATATGGTGCCTGGAGAGGCTTGAGGATCTTTAGAAACACCTCAGCAGAAAACTAAACAGGGAGGAGAGAACAAACTGCACTTCTTGTAAGAACAGTGTGGAGTGGGTGCAGAGGGAGAGCCCCTGAAGGCATGGGGCTCAGGGAGAGGGATGGAGAGCTGATCTCAGGGAAGGGGGCTAACGGACCTTGGCTTAATTAACTTCACACAGGGAGCTCAAGAAGAGACATGGCGACTCCTTGCATGTATATGATACAGGGAAACGTACATCACATAATGGCAGAGGAATTGTTTAAGCTACAAAGACACCATTGACAACAAGGACAGACAGGTATAAACTTCCATTATACATTTCTTACAGAAACTCAAAGAAAGTTTTTAAGTGCCAGAGATACAGGATATGTTTCTTTTATAGCTTTCGAAAAGCAGGGAGAACAGAAATATCGATTACTTGTAAGATCAAAGTTTATGAAAGGAATTATATCACCTACAGTCCAAACAAAGATCCAAGAAATCCATTCCACTTCCCTGTATTTAAGTTCTAGATCTGCTGGTTAAAATAAAAAGTCATGAAACCATGGAATTGATTTTTGAACCTCAAGTTGGTTTTTAAGCAAGAGGTACTGAAAACAATATCAGACATTTTGTTTTTAAATCCATTTTAATCTCTTTTCCTTTTTCCCCATTTTGTTTTTCTCCTAGTAAAACAGATGTGACAAAAAAGATCTTTTTCACTTAGTACTGAAGAAGTGAGCAGAAAAAAGTCTCAGATGAAAAATATTTCAACAAGCTTTACAACTAAACAGTACATCTTTGCACCAAGACATGTTACTGAAGCTGAATATACAGCTTGTTATATTAAAATTTCAATAGTGACATTCAGGCCAACAAGGGCATGATGACGTTTTCTTTACAACAGTTTTTTCCTGTTATCAGAAAGAGTCGCAAAAATTACATCATTACACTTTGATAATTAAGTCAAGAACAAAAGTTTTAAAGGAAAGGAGAAAACAAAATTAAAATCTGCCAGTCTGTAAATATGAGTTTTCAATACTATTTCTAGCAGATGCACGCATGCAAAGTGGCGGAGCTTGGGAAAATGGGAAGCTACCAACAGCAAGTCACAAGCTCAGGCAAATGAAGAATCTAAAAATGTCATTACTTCCACATCTACCCACGTATTAGGGTAAACAAAATGCAGCACTTCCAGCTCTAGTGATATTTACAGGATGATCTTTTCCAAACCGCAAACAGAAAAATGGATATACTTTAATTATTTAAACATATTTTTTACTACCTTTCAGAAGACAAGAAGATAAACATGTGCTACTTTTTTTTTTGATTGACTGGAAATGCATTTATCAAATATATCAACAATTTTCTATGGTGTACATATAGATCTGTAGCCATCTCAGGAAACAACTTTATTATCTCATTTACTTATTTGGAGTATGGATTTACTGCTGTTTGAAATTGAGTAGTATTGTGGGACATTAAACTATGAAATCAAAGACCATATATGAAAGCAAAACAATCTGTTAGAGATATAAAGAAAGGTATTATATATACACGTATATGTGCACGTAACACAAGTGTTTTATATAATACATATATAAATAAAATAGGTATTTTTATATCTCTAGAGAGAGAGATATAAAAATAAAACCCTAGTGAACCCATTTTATGTAGTATCCTAAAAACATGCTCCAGAGACATTTACTGAACTGCACCAAAACAAGTCTTTCTCTCTGCACCTTGGACTTTGCTAGGAAGTTAACTAGAATGCAGGTTTTGTTTTCCTACGTTTAATTGGTAAGTGAACCAAGCCTTTTCATTCTAGAGCTCCATAATTAAAAACAAACTTTGTCAAATTCCCTCCTCTGTAGCAGTTTGAGCTATGCGGTTTTGATTTTTATGGGGGAACACAACAGCAATTCCAAAGACTATAAAATGCATCCCACAGGCATTTTATTTTTTTTTTTCCCCCTCCCAGCTCCTCTTGGCAAAAGAGTCCTAGGAAAGAGCGGCTGCATTGGAAACTGCATCTGTCTGTGCCCAGGCCAAGTGTTGTCAAGACAGTCAATGCAAACGCCTACCACAACAATCTCTCCTTTGTCAGTCACAGGGATCCCATGAGAAAGCACCAGCCAGTCTAGGAATTTGGCTCAAGGTAGTGCTAGACAAGCCTGAAAAACAAAAAATAAGGGTCAGACTTTATTTAGATTGACTGTATAAAACCGGAACTAACAGCTCCGTTCTGTCAATGAGCTTTTAAAATTGTGTAGTGGCACAAGTGGTCTTAGTGCAGAAAGACAAAATTCACCTCTTAACCCTTTCTACTCTCTGCACTTACTGGCCCACTTTGTACTTATCAGCTTGGGAAGATTAATCCCATCAGACAAGATATTTTAATTTTTTTTTTTCATGCAATGGATTTCCAAGCCTGAAGGCGAAAAAAAAACATGTTACTATCATCTTACATAGCTGCAGCCCCCATGATCCAGAACTTCAGGAAAACTCTGAGGGATCACAAATTGTAACCAGCAACTAGGTTCAGGGACTTCCTACGTACAAAATCAACAGTCAACTACAACAACTTTCCACACACTCAGAAAAACATTTCTAGAAACTGTACCAGGAAAACATACATACAAAACCACATGCAAAGGCCACTACTTTGAGCAAAATTAGTCTGTAGGCAGAGCATTTTAATGTGATGAGATGCCAGGGAAGAGGAGGAATTCAGAACACAGCAGTTGGCAGGAGTCCTACTTTCACTCCAAGCGATTTCCCATTTTCGGATTTATCCAGGAGTATTATTTCTGAGAATTTCTAAGCTCAATTTCCTTCCAGTGAATACGCAGAAAATCTATATCCTCAAACTGGCTAAAGTAGATTTTTGGCATAAAACCTGTCCTTTATTCAAATATGATAAAAAAAATATGACAGCTTTGGAATGAACTTATAGCCAAACACCCAAGATTCTGGTCTTCCTTATTCATCTTGTTTTAAACAACATGCTATTTCAAAATACTTGTAATTATCAAAGTGTGCATTAACCTTTCTAAAAATGATCATTTAACTTCTGCAAATTAATTTAATTTCTTATCCTCCACTCTCTGATTTCCATTTAGAGAGAGATGTGATATAGAAAAGAATATCTGCTATACTTCTAGAAAAAACCCAAAACAAACAGTAGATAAAGGAATGGCCTGACAGCTCAGGCAACCTTTCCTTGAACAAGCTCAGATATACGCACGCTGTAACATTTTAGGCTACTGATCAGTTATTCAACCAACAGTTATGTCACCAAAAAGACATTCCCTCCTCCCTTCTTGCACATCCTCTTCACATCAACCTTCCCCTCCCACTTGCTTCTTTGCCACAAATCCTCCTTGAAAATTCAGAAATCTGAGAAAATAGTGTTATTGCCCTCTTCCCACATTCTATTGGCATTTTAGGAGGGAAAAAAAAGCGACAAACAAAATCTATTTTAATTACTGTATATCTGCTTGTAATACAAGAAAAAGGCTTCCTGGAGCTTAGAGTCAGAAGGACCATTGGACCCATTGGCTTGTTAACCTGAACACCACAAATTATTACCCAGTTCAAGTACCCCAAAAGCAGGACAAGTAACTTGTACGAGGTGAACAAATACTATCAGGCACATCACCTGCCTTGGGCTGAACACCTCAAGAGATCCACCACTTTCTCTAATGGTGGGAAGGGTACTTTACTGGTTGAAGAGCTGCAGCCATTCACCTTATTTCCATTTAGAACTTCAGCCAGTGGTTCTAGTTACACCTCTCACCCTCTATATGGGAGGAGGAAAATAGAAAAATAAAAGAGGAAAAGTGGAAGAAAGTTAGTACAAGACACTTTCTTGTCAAGGCAGCTAAGGTGCTCAGTCTCTTCTCATACTGTTGGGGCATAGCTAGTGTTTTAATTGCCTGCAAACTCCTTTCCTACAGCTCTGCCACAAATGTTTTCCAGCTCTTCTGCCAGCCCTTCTTCCTTAGTACAAAATTTGCCCTGGCCAGTGCTCTCAGTCATTGCATCAGCTTCATCTGACTTGGGATGACTTCTTTCTTCCTCGTAAAAATCTTGCCCTTGCCAGCACCTCACTCAGCACTTCACTAACTGCTCCACCAGCCCTGCTTTCCTGGGGCCCTCTCTACCACCTCTGTCTTTCAAAAGCAGGAGAGATCCTGGGGAAATAATTCCCTTTTTTATTAGCGGCAATTGTCCCTCCTCCCGTTTGCTCCTAGGCAATCCCTTCCAGCCACAAAAAAATCAGTTACTGTCTCTACAGAGGGACCCACAGATTTACCTCCTCCTCCAGGCCTCTTTCTCCTTATCCATAATGGAAATTTCAATTCTCCTCTCTTGCCATTTCCTTGCAGATATCCAGCTACTAGATTAAGCCCTACACAGAGCCAGACAAACCTCTTATCTCCCCTCCCACACAAGGTTTTCCCAAGAGGCTCTTCCTTGATTAGCCAGCATCCTGCCAGCTACGCAGCCTGTAGGCTGATCACAATATTCAACAGGAATCTGTATGTTTAAATCCTGTAGAAAGAACATGCATAATATACATAAAGTGCAGTCTTTTCCTTACGGTCTGTCAGACAACTAAAATGCTCATCCAAGCACTCAAGGTCTTCCTCCTTTTCTTGGGCTTAGACCAGCAAAATCTGACTTTCAGAAATTTATCTGAAGGGACACAAGCAACGGTCATCTCCCCTGCATGCTACCTTGCCCTTTTTTGGTATTTAATTAACATTAAAAAAAACCCCAAACTCTTTCTCCATAATTTTAATTTAACCTTCTCTGCCTGTTTTCTCTTGATCATTTTTTACACCAGTGTTTAAGAGCCAGCTGCCTACTTCTGATCAGCTAGTGACACTGTTCTCCATCACCAACAAAGCAATCTGTCTCACAGAGATGGACCTGACAGCTCAATCCATCCAACCTATTTTAGACATTTTGCTTTGGATAACAAAGTATGTCCTAAAATTATCTGGACAGGGATACAATAATTACAAATAAGACAAATACACACAAAAAAAAAATAGCTGCTCACACCCCACCCTTTCCACATTAAATCACTACCAGGAATTTTTTCAGCACTAATAATTCTTGTGGCTCTTTTTCTGTACCTCCTGCAGGTTTTCAAAAGACCTTTTAAAGACGTGAAAACTAGGACCAGATACAGAACTTGAGTATTGCTGTCATTAATGCCGTGCAAAGAGAAAAAACGTTTCTTTTATAAATCCCATCTGCCAAGGATTAAGTTAGCCCTCTCTTTTCTCCCTGCAACAGTACACTGTTAACTTAAAGTTCTGTATCCAGCCTGATCCCTAATACCTTTGCAGAGTTGCTGCTTCCCAGGAAGCAGTGTCTCACGCTACGGATGTCCAGAAAACTTGTCACTAAGAAATCTGACTGCATTCAGCCACACCTTCGGTTTTACTCATCAAAAAGAAAGAAAACATTCTTTGTGACCACGTACTTATCATTAAAATCTGGGAATGACAGACTGGCAAACAGCATAATCGGCTTTTTGGTTTTTTAAGCTTCTGTCTTACAAATGAAACTGTTAAATGGTGCCTGGTCTAGGCTTAGTCCTTCTGGAGCCTCTCGATTCCCAGTTTATTTCTGACAGACATCTACTTGTTTATATTTTGCAGTCAGCTGCCGCTCCATTCACCCGGCGTGCTTTTGCTGACGTGCTGTAATGGTTTTCCCAACAAAAAAAGCTCTATTGTACAGAGCCACAAGCTGACAGGCAGAATTAGGAAACCTGTGTCAGGCTCAGCACAGGACCAGTGACAGATGCAGAAAGAAAGGCTGTGGGATCTGCTCTGTATTGCTGTGACAGCCCATGGTTCATCTGTTTTTTGTGTCAGCCAAGAGTAGCTAGGAGGCACGAATGGCCGTGAAACTCATCTCCCTCCACCTCATCCTGTCAGAGCTGACGATGCAGCTCACAGCCCAGCAGCCACAGGGTCCAAGGATGAAAGCTTAAGGACACAGAGGAAAGAGGATAAAGTTTGACAGGTTATAGGCAGAAGAGGGAACTTCAGCTTTGGATTCTCACCTTTACTTATGGTGGTGACAGCATGTGATTATGCTAAACGTGATGTCCTCACCAGTCTCCTTAGCCTTGTCAGGAGACTGCATTTCATACAGTCCTAGGCTACAGAAAGAGGGAAGAACCGCAGAGTGAAAGATGAGATCCCTCAGCAGGGATCACTCCTGCAGGAGCCAGGGACACAACGCGCTCATCAAAGGGAAGTTCTGCTGTGCAAGGCGTTTGCATACCACAACCTAACCCGGGTCCTGTGATCCCTGTGCCAGGGAGCTTACACAGAGTTTCATCTTGAAACACTTAAGCAGAACTTAAGCATATCACCCAGTGAAGAGAGAAGCACATATGACCTTTGCGTGACAACTCCGTGGTCACTCACGCCAAGAGGTAAAATTCCCATGGACTCCCCAGAGCAGAGTCTGAAGCCACCCACCCACCCACCACAATCCCTCCCCTCCTTCCCTTGGGTTTACGTATCCCACGGAATTTTTCCTTGGCAAGCATTATTCAGGAGGTTACCAGAGATGAACAGTTATTCGTCTGGCTGGATCATAACAACAAGATGCTTTTTATCAGATCAGATGTGGGAAGCTGTTTAAAGGCTTATTACAGAAAGCAGCTACATGATTTCATGAAGACAGAAAAGCTCAAAGCACAGTGATAAAAGGTATTTTAATAGACCCATTCATACTAATACAGGAGATACTGTGTGCTGAAAACAGGGAAATATATTATATTTCTAACATGATAGGCCAGAAGATTTAATTACTAGCTTTGCTTTGAACTTGACAGCTATTACTACTCTAACTCCTGAATGCACTTGCAAAAGAAGCCTTGTCATTTTAGATTTGTAAGAAGAGGTGGTCTTAACTTGGATTTAACTACCAGGTTTACTATAATGTGTGCAATAGAAAAGCACATACAATTAAGCCTTCATGAGAAGACAACTCCCTCCACACACACACCTGCTCATTAAAAAGTTGGAATGGAAAAAGGTCTTCGCTATATTTATTTTTCCCTCCAGCAAAGAACAAAAGAAAAAAACCCCAAAACCTACTGTTAACATAATGCAATCAGCATTTCATATTTATCTTA